GTAACCCCATTAAGCACAGGTTGTCACCCTATAACCCAATCAACTTCACAACTGACCAGGAGGACCTCTGTCTTGTATGAATAAAGCTTCAGTTTGTTAGTCCTCATCCAGTCCATCACAGTGGCCAGGCACTGATCCAGGATCCGAAGACTTCCTTGGAATTTGGTGGAAAAGTGTAATAGAGTTGAGTGTCATCTGCATAGAGAAGGCACCGAACTCCAAAACTCTGGATGCCTCACCCAGCGGTTTATCTTAGAGGACACCATGGTCTGAAGAACTATCACACTACATCGTGACTGCCACAGTCTAGATCAGTGGTTCCCAAACTTTGGTCCTTCAGTCATTTTGGACTTCAACTCCCAAAAATCCCAGCCAGTTTACCAGCTATTAGGAATTGTGGAAGCTTAACTCCAAATACCTGGAGAACCAAAGTTTGGAACCACTGATCTAGAAAGAAGATTATGCATTGAAGATTGTTTGCTGCTCTTGTTTTTGCATGCAGAAGCATGGTAAGCACTACATATCCTTTTCTGGGACAGAAACAATTCTAGATTCAAGTTCATTGAAGCAGGGTAATGCATTGTTGAAAAAACCTGTAACTCTTATCTAAAGAATTATTTTAATCACAAACTTCAATGGTTAAAAGCATATACCCATTTTTTAAAGAATATATAGCCATCTGGCCTGATGAAAAGCTCTAAAAAGCTTACACATTATTTTGGAATTTAGATGGTCCTAATAAAGGCAATGAGTTTTGTTCCATTGTTGAAGCTTGTTGTTTCCAGCTTAAGGTGACCCTAATCCCCTTCCATGCTGCCGCTATACCCCAGGATCTGATCCCAGATTATCTTCTTATTACAGATTATCTGGCAGTGGAGACTCATATAATCCAGTTTAAAGCAGAAGTGGTTTAAGGAAAACATATCACAAGGTTTTCTTGGCAAGATTTTTTCAACAGTTTGTCATTCCCAGAGGCTGGAAATATGTGAGACATGCTTAAGGTCACCATGGAAAAGAGATGGTTTGAAACATGGTCTCCTGTGGCTTAGGCCCACATTTTTTGTTTTGAACTGGAATATACAGCAGTGTGGACTCAGATAACCCAATTCAAAGCAAATATTGAGGGATTTTCTGCCTTGATATTCTGGGTTATATGGCTGTGTGAAAAGACCCTAGTCCAAACATCTCCATTATACTTGCTCCCTGCTGAAGTTTACACAGTTACAGAAAATAACACTTTATTAAATTATATGGTGCTCAAAAAGTAACAGATGAAATGATTCCACAAGGTATATGTAAAACCTCAATTGCATAAATAGCTCTCTGGATGGCAATTTATGGCAATTGATTACAGATATGGATGTATATATCTCGTGATGTTTTGTATCGATGTTGTTCACCGCTTTGAGTCGCCTGAGGGCTGAGAAAAGTGGTATATAAATAAAGTAAAATAAAATAAAATAAATATATTAAATCCAGAGAGGGAGAAAGTGAAAAAGAGGTATTTGTAAGTATAAGTAGGAGAAGAGTTTGAAATTAACAGATCAGTGTTTCTCAACCCTAGGGGTCAGAACCCCTGGGGGGGGGGTCACAAGGGGACTGTCAGAGGGGTCGCCAAAGACCATTAGAAAACACAGTATTTTCTATTGGTCATGGGGGTTCTGTGTGGGAAGTTCAGCCCAGTTCTATCATTGGTGGGGTTCAGAATGCTCTCTGATTGTAGGTGAACTATAAATCCCAGCAACTGCAACTCCTAGATGACAGAATCAATCCCTCCAACCCCATCAGTATTCAAATGTGAGTGTATCAGGTATTTGTGCCAATTTTGTTCCAGTGAATGAAAATACATCCTGAATATCAGATATTTACATTATGATTTGTATCAGTAGCAAAATTACAGTTATGAAGTAGCAACAAAAATAATTCCAGGGTCACTACAACATGAAAAACTGTGTTAAGGGTCACAACATTAGGAAGATTGAGAAACACTGGTGTAGACAATAAGTGACACTGGAAGGGAACAGGGTGTGTGTGTGTGTGTGTGTGTGTGTGTGTGTGTGTGTGTGCATGCTGTCTTTGCTATTTTCTAAACATTTTTGTGAGGAAATGTAGATATGTTATATTCTACTTGTATGATCCAAATAAATTTTTGCTTAAAAAGATGTATATTACCTTGAGCTCTTTTAACTAGCAGGAGGGAAAGGAACATATCTTTCTTGAATGTAATTAGCATTCCCCACATCCATGCTATTAGCATGTTCAGCATAAATTTACAACATTTTCTAGAAAGACCATATGTGGCAACAAAAAGAATTTAGAATTTAGTATTGAAAATTTGCTCAAAAATTGCACTACGGAACATAAAGAAATCTGTATTTCAAACATTATTTGATAGGAAAGGCTCCAAGGCTACATGGAAGTTCTTCCTTCACACAGCCACACTTGTCAGGCAACAGACTTTTTATTGCAGTTTCTCAAATCATGCTCTGCAGAGCATATGGTGCTCTGCAAAACAATTTCAAGTGCATTGTCTAAGGCTTTAATGGCCAGAATCACTGGGTTGTTGTAGGTTTTTCGGGATATATGGCCATGTTCTAGAAGCATTCTCTCCTGATGTTTCAGCTGCATCTATGGCAAGCATCCTCAGAGGTTGTGAGGTCCTCTGAGGATGCTTGCCATAGATGCAGGTGAAATGTCAGTACAGAATGCTTCTAGAACATGGCCATTTAGCCCGAAAAATCTACAACAACCCAATTCCAAGTGCTCTGCGAAAAGATAAGGATTTTTATATTATTATTATTATTATTATTAGAAATAAATGGGGGGGGGAGATAATCTCAATATGGTAATTTTTTGCACCCATGAGTGGTGTGTTGAAAAGTATCGTCTATAATACCTGTTGTATGTGTGTAACAAATGGTGGATCTGCAATATTTGCTCTGAATTCATTCTCAAATATTTTGTCAGGATTTTTCTCCTCCCTCTCTCCTTTTGTGCATGTAGTTCTGTCTGTCATGTGAAATTGGTGGTGAACATAAAAATTGTGAATGATAAAACTCAAATGTCTTGCATGCTTCAATTGTGAAACTACCTTGCTTCATCAATATTATTGCAATTTTATTTATCAAATACAGTATGAATCCGCGAGATGAAATGTAGTGCTCCAGCTTGAATTTCATATTTCAAAGGTGCTCTGGGACTGAAAAGGTTTGAGAACTCTTCTTTTAATGCACTTAAAATAAACAGCAAATCAAATGCTGGGAGCTGAAAATGAAAGGCGAGTTCAGTCAGGTAAAGGGAGTGGCAGTCCATGGTCTCATCCTGGGTCTTTGAAGCAAAAGGGGGATTACTCGCCCAAGTGACTCATGTTCCATTCTATTGTCACTGTTGCATTTAGGAGAGTTCACATTACGCATCTGAATGTTTAAAGGAGCAAACTAAAAGCAATGGATGCCTTCCTGCTTCACTCTCACTGTATTTCTCCTATCCCAATGGTTTAGATCAGGGGTCCTCAAACTAAGGCCCAGGGGCCAGATACAGCTCTCCAAGGTCATTTACCCAGCCCTTGCTCAGGCTCAACCTCAGTCTGAAATGATCTGAAAGCACACAACAACAACAACAACAACAACAACAATCCTATCTCATCAGCCAAAAGCAGGCCCACACTTCCCATTGAAATACTAATAAGTTTATATTTGTTAAAATTGTTCTTCATTTTAATTATTGTATTGTTTTTAAGTGTTTTTGAATTACAAATAAGATATGTGCAGTGTGCATAGGAATTCATGTTTTTTTTTCCAAATTATAATCTGGCTCTCCAAACGTTTGAGGGACTGTGACCTGGCCCTTTGTTTAAAAAGTTTGAGGACACCTGGTTTCCTCTCCTCAGCTGTCTTTTGTTGTCTTTCTGCATGTATCTTATGGTGACCCCATGAATTTCATAGGATTTTCATAAGTGGGAAATACTCAGATGTGGTTTTGCCAATTACTTCCCTCTAAAATATAATCAACAGTATCTGGTATTAACCCATACAAATACTAACCCAGGCTTATCCTGCTTTCCTTCCAAGATCAGACTGGATATGGTGTATTTAGGGTATTACATGGCCTTTAAATGACAAGTCTGTCCATCCAGTTACAAACTTTATTTTTCTGCACTGGAGGGTGACAGTTTTTGCAAATAGTAATGGTAAAGCCTTTTATTTAATGCACAATGTAAGTAACTGCTTCTCAGAGCTCCAGACATAGACCCAGACTGTAATTTTTCCATCATTCTAAATGACCGCATTGCAAAAGCGCCCTTTGGACAATGTACACCCTGTTTTAAAGATATGCCAAAAGACATAGTAAACACTGATTAACCGGCTTTAACCATGTGTTCCTCTACACAAGCACAACTCCAGTTTTCAGTCTTCCCCAGTTAATTATTCAATCCATTCAGGGCCCACTTAATCCACAACCACATTTTTCTGGGAACCTTTCACATTATGTAATTGTAGTACTACAAATCCCCTTTAGCTGCCATGGTTGCCTTCTATGAGATCTTGGGGACTCTAGTCTGGTGAGGCACTAGCGCTTTCTGCCTGAGAATTCTGAACACCATTCTTTAATCTACAAATCCTAAACCCTAAAATGCATATACTTGCAGCTGTGTCAGTTTAAGTGGCACCACATTACAGGGTGTCCCAAAAGTCTTCATACATAGGAAAAATGAATAAACTCGTACGTTATATTATATTACATTAAGTGTGTGTGTGTGTGTATAATTCTTTCAGATATACAACATGTAGATAATATTTTGTAAATAAAAGTACATTTAGCTACAATTTCCGATTTTCCCTAAATACAGAAACTTTTAGGACACCCTGCATCATCATGTCGTGTGCAAAGAACCTCAAGTCAGGATATTGATTGAAACATTTTCAGTTCAGAATCTTTGCCTGGAAATTATTTATGCATGCGCAGAAATCCCCACATGCCTGCCAAGTGTCAGCACTTACTGTAATCCATGAGGGAGTTGCATGCCCAGTTGAGGTCACCAGGATTTGCTTTGAGGCAGTCCCACCATAGCGATGCTTGGCGTACATAAGGTGCTTCCGCCGACTCCAGCCACCCCCTGCCAGCCAAGGCGATGATGCCCAAGATGATGGCTAAACCCAAGAGAAGGGGCAGGAGCCATCGGCACCTCCAGCAGGCCAGACCGCACCGGACCATTTTGTGCAGGCAGACCTTTCTGGAAAAGTCGGGTGAATGAGCCTGATGAGAGAGCCACAAAAGGTTCCTTCCAGGAGACTCCCCTTAGGCTGCCCTGGGCCAGTGAGTAAGCCTGGCACTTTGTAGTCAGCAAACTTCTAGGGAGGAGAAGGCCGCACCTAGATTCCAGGCGCTGAGAACAGCAGGACAGCAGTAACCTGTTGAGCCAGAAACAAACTGGCAGATAAACAAACCTGGATTCCGAGGACACTCCCAGACTCTTAACCCTTTCCTAGCAAATGAAATAGCAATGCTATGCGAGAGCAAGACATTAGAACTCACTACAAAGAAGGCACAGGGAGCCACCAAACTTTGGCAGTTTGAAGTAAATGCACAATCCCCCCCCCCCGCCCAATTTTGACAGTCTCCCAGCAAACATACAAATGCTAGGGAGTTTGTCCAACACAGGGTGCATCTACGCTGTAGAATTAATGTAGTTCCATACCACTTTAACTTCAATAGCTTAATGCCGTTGAATCATGGGGCTAGGACTCTTTGGCTGAGAAGACTAAAGACCTTGTAAAACTATAGCTTCCAGGATTCCATAGCATTGAGCAATGGCAGTTAAAATTGTGTCATACTGAATTAATTCTACAGTGGAGATGCCCCCACAGTAACGCATCCAAGTTCTGGGTAAATGACTTTTATTAATGATACACATTAGCAGTCAAGACCTGAAAGTAAGTCCCACAATTTGACATATGCACAAAGAGATTCTCTGGAAATTAAATTCCATTGAAATCAAGGGGGTATTACTTCTGAAGAAAGGTATTTAAGAGCAAGCTGCTAATCATGTTTTGCTTAAGAAGCATTCCACATCCTATTTATCTTTTGGGGCTACTAACAATCTAATTGCCTTGATTTAGCAGGAACAGTCACAATTAATCTGTCCTCCCACTTTTTTAACTACTTTGAAAATCTGTTTTTTCTACTCCTCCCACATTCCCTTTCTGCTTCAACTGCTACAAACTGAGTTCAGGATGCAATAGATTGTAGTCAATTCAGTCAGTGGGGAAAAGAGAAGAAGAAAGGGGGGAATTTAGGCAAAACCAAACTGCTGTCCAAGCTTGTTTATTCATCCTCACTAGAACCATTTTGCCCACTTTTCCCTGGCTACTGGTTGTTGATGTCAGTTGATGTCTTCTTATGTTTTACCATCTGGTTTTATTGTTTTAACTATATTTTATTATTATATGTTTTAATTGTGTTACTATAACTTGTTCTATGCTGGGCTTGGTTCCCATGTAAGCCACCCTGAGTCCCTTTGGGGAGATGGTGGCAGGATAGGAGAATAAAGTAATTATTATTATCTTATTATCTTACCCACATTCTTATATTGCCTGACCACATATGATTCCTTTTTCATGTATGAAATGTTGGGAGGATATGTTGCTAAGGAGGCAACTGAAATCTTGAATTGTTGTCTGGACACAGTGCTATGAGTTGGCAGGAGGAGAGACAATATGTTCTAATGAGATGGCACTCCCAGGGAACGAGATCACTTTCATCTCCCTATGGCCCAGTTTGCTGCTGCAGAATTCTGGGAAATGTAGTTTTGAAAAGCCAGGACCTCTCTAGCTGAGAATTTCCAAGGCCCAGCTGAAACTAAATTTCTTTAAATTTTGCAGAAGCAAACTGAGTGATAGATGAAAGTCTCCATTCTATAGCACTAATATGAGCTCATCCCCAGTAAATGTGTTTTCTGGATCTGGGATTATCTGAATAGTTTCAGGTTGTTGTTGTAAATTAGACCTCTTCCACACAGGCCCAAAACCCATGATGGGTTCCAGGTTAACCTGAGGTGTCCAAATTATGCCTCTGATTAATCCGGAGTAATTGAGATTTCCTGATTTCTTCTGGATTTTAAAAATTGGAAAAACGAATGTGTTTAGTTGCATAATAATCGCACACTTATTTTAGGGAAGGCAAAAACAGAATTTTGCAATTTGCCGTGTAATAGTCTCACCCCTAATTCACTCTCCTGGGTGAGTGAACCCAGGGTGCAACATTTTGGTTCTGTGGGGCTTGACTCAGCTGGGAACCCCACAACATCAAAATGGAAAGAATTCATGAATTCATGCTCCACTCACACACCCATACAACTTCCCCTTTAAAGCCACAGCTGTATGGATGTGTATGGACGTGTGATGCTCCACTAACCCACGCAGCTGCTCCTTTGAAGGCACAGCTGTACCAGTGGGTGAAGCATCACCTACCCACATTGATGCGCCCTCAGATGACAATTATGTGGTAAAAAAGCCCATCAAGTGGGACTTTTTTTCACCACATAATAATCTTCGCATAACCGTTGCATCTATTTCTTCACTATCAGTCCCCCTTTTCTTCCTTGCCCTCTATCTAGCTGGAATGGTTTCTTTCAACACCAATAATATTGTGAGGATGATAAAGAAAAATAACAGATTTTCATTATTTAGTTGAAGCAGGGTGGCTTTGAGAAGCATGGCAATGGTGGGGGTGTAATTATTAAGCAATAAAATACAGTACTTCTGAATATTTTTGGCATTTGAAAATCTTGTGAAATTCATTGCATAAGTTAACTGGCAGCTTGAAGGCACAATTTTAATGTACAAGGGCTGTTAACATTTTTAAAATAAGATTATAATTATTTTTAAACATAATTCTGATACCTCTAAAGTATTATTTTTGTCCTGTATCATTTGCAGTTGCAATTATTTATATAGATAATCTGTCACTTTACAAGCTCTTTGTGTGTCAAAGGATATGTCATAAATAATTTTATAAAGATATTCTTATCAACTATATTTTCCAGGCTTTTGAATGTTAGACATTTCTTGAGGAATCCCTGTTGTCTCAGAGGCCTTTTCAAACTATGTAATTGCAGGTATACCCAGCTAATAAAATACATGTGTTTCTTGGCATTACTTCTGTAATGGGAAATTTAATATAGGAAATTTAGGACTAGAGGCAGAAAAAAATGAAAATGAAGTGTCCAGTTCAGGTAAGCTTTGAATCAGTAAAGACAAACATGCTACAACTTCTGGAACAGTGTTTCTCAACCTGTGGGGCTCGGGTGTTTTGGCCCACAACTCCCAGAATTCCCAGCCAGTTTACCAGCTGTTAGAATTTCTGGGAGTTGAAGGCCAAAACATCTGGGGACCCACGGTTTGAGAACCATTGTTCTAGAAGATTTAAAGATTTCTTCCAAAATTCAGTCAGAAATGACATTTTCTTTCTCTACTTTTTGGATTTCCATTTTAGTGGCCAAATTCTTAAGTAATACTACTACTCTTACACCATCTCACCATCATCATCATCATCATCACTTTGACATGCTGGGAGTAATTGATGAGGCAGGTTAATGTGCTCTCCCAATGTTTCTTTGTTTGCTGTCCATGCCTACTCAGTAAAGGGTTCTGCAGGCAGCTGCTGTTTGCCTTTCTGTTGCAGGCAGGCACACAGAGCTACAGTCTGATCAGCTGGCACAAAATCCTATTCTTTATAGCGATGCTTCTTGAAGCCATCCTGCTGCAACTGGATATTGAAAATCTGTTATTTTTTCTGTATCATCCTCACAATAATATTGTAACTTAAAAGAAACAATTCCAACTACACCAAAGACAAGGAGGATAAAAGGGTTTTGTAGGCATAAAATGTATAAAAATGGCATCACGCCTCATAGATTTGTTAACTGAGGGTGCATCTTGATGGCAGATACCATGAAGCTGATCTCTGGAGGCTACACTGTCCACCTGAGCCAGCTCAGGAGCTGCATGGAGGCTACACTCCATGCTCCCAAATAGCCCCAACAGCTGGATGGTGGCTACATGGTGTCCAAACAAGTTTAGCGCCACTCACTCTTAATATGCCCCCTCAATATTACCTCAACACTACCCACTAGACATGAAAATGGTGGCGGACACAACTTGGCATCTAGAGTGGCGATATTCAGAGTGCTGAGGTGACAGGGGAGTAGTTCTCCTCTCCAGTCTCATTGATACTCTCAATATCATCACTCCAGGTGTCAAGGATTGTCTGCCACCCTTTTCATCTCCAGTGGGCACTGCTAAGTTAAAATTAAGGAAAGGTAGGGAGGTGCCATCCCCTCTCCCTGAGCATCTTCAGTCTGGAGAAAGTGGGATGGTGAGTAATAAGCTGTGTAATCCAGAGCTGGATGCTCTGGAGTTTTGGTAAAGTTCTGGAGTATCCCCCTTCTGTAACATGGTTCAAAGCTGCTTTATACCAAATCATATAAGGACCATGGAGCTGATTCAGTACTCCTGCACTTTGAAGTACAAGTCAAGGCACACTTTTGAGTTATGCCTTTATAGTGGTATGATTCTACTTCAACCACCCTGGCTGCATGTTGTGGAATACTGGGTATGTAATGTAAACAGAGGCATTAGGGGAGCCTTCTGACAGAATCCTAAATGAAACCACAAATCCTATGATTCTATAGGCCCGAGCCATGGAAGTTAAAGTGAATTCATGGCATTGTAACTGTGTGGCATGCAGGTTTCTGGGGAATCTAGGCAGCTTTTTCCATTTATGCAGTTGTGACCTTATCTAGAAATGTTGATTTTTATGTACTCATATGGACATGTGAAGATTAGAAGAGAATTAGCAAAAGGTCCATTTTCCAGACCAAACCAAGTCTACCATCCCCCTTATTTCCTCCCTCATCAAATCTACCAGACAGCTTTCTGCAAGCTTTCTATCCGTCATACATTCCCAGCTCACAGAGTCATCTCCGTGGTGTTCAGATTCCTTGCTTTTTCAAAGCAATGGGACTCAACAAATCATATTTTTACACATGCTCAGCTCTCCCAAAAAAACTAACTATTGTTTCTAGGCCACAGAATACATAGTAGGGCAAAGTACTATGGTACAAATGAGAATGCTTTGCTTCTTAGAGCATGTGGAAATTCCAGAAAGGGTGTGTGTGTGTGTGTGTGTGTGTGTGTGTGTGTGTGTGTGTGAATCTGAAAACCAGCACTGAGGTTTGCGGAATTGTATAGCCTCCCAGCAACACTGCTCTGGTCCTAAATGGAGAGTATTCTAGAGGCTTCCTGGAGGCCATAGAAACAGGCCTGGGCACTGGATGTGTCCAATGGAATGTACTTTGCCTAGCCCTGATATACATACTCCTCTTCTTTTTTGTCCTTTGTCCAGCCTAACTGCTTGCCTGCCTACCTGC